GAAAATTCGATCGTTTTAACGAAACGTGCGTACGATTACTTCTCTGATTTAAGGATGAAAATTAAAAAAGTTCGCCTTTACCTTCACATAAATTTAGTAGGCAGGCAAACGTGTTTTCTTGTTGTTTTAAAACGATTCGAATTTGCGTGCACAAATACAAAATGAGTCACGTTCTGTTTTGGTACAATTTGGAGTTAGTTCAAACATCAACGCTTATGTTATTTCAGAATGAAGTTTATTTTACGATTTTCCGTTATGCTTTCACCTTCGAGTGCAGTTGTCTTTAAGTGTAACACAACGCATTTATTCTGAACACTCATCAGTTGCATTTAATTTATTATTCAATAAATTAATAATAGTAATCAGATTTAAAAGGAATTAAAGCAGCATCAACGCAATCTTTATTTTTTATAACAATTTATTCCAACGATTTCGGTATTTTCTATCAAAATTCACCAAAAAGGTCAACTCTAATGTTCGTTACGTTATTTTTATATTTGTCTACTAGCTGACCCGGCAGACTTCGTAGTGCCTCAATCGACAAGTAAAAGACCTAAACTTTTGTATAAAATAAATTTAAAACAAACAAAAGGAATCCGTCCGACGGGGAACATATTAAAGGAAAAACAAAATTGTTATTTTTATTTAATTCCGAGCATTTTCATATTTATCTACCTTTTAAACTTTCTCTGGACTTCCACAAATAATTCAAGACCAGAATTAGCCAAATCGGTCCAGCCGTTCTCGAGTTTTAGCGAGACTAACGAACAGCAATTCATTTTTATATATAAAGAAGAAGAAGATAGATTGGCACAGTTTTTTTTTTTTAAATTAAGGCATAATTTCTAATTGCTTGTGTATCATTAAATGTAATTCAAAACTTTAGAACTGTTTATTTATTACACATTAAACACTAGACACATTAAACTTTGTTAATGCATCATCTTTCTACGTGGATATCCTAAAGCCGATTAATTAAATTTTAAGTTTAACGTGTTACAAAGAGCCTGTTAATCGATAACGAATCTACTACATGTAATCTACATAGTATGAAGGGTCGACAAACATAATCTGAAAATTACTGGAATCGCAAGAAAATAATAGATCATATTAAACACCGTCTTATATCGATCCCAATCGAAATTTGCTTTCATTGAGCTGGCGATACAAATTACCTGGCCCTATTAAAGGTCGGTTACCTTTTAAGGTGATTATCCATTATCCGAATAGGAACGAAGGTTTTTAGAAAACAATAGAATCGAATGTGGGCTCTAAAATTCAAGAGCTAAAGTATAATTTTCTCCTGTAATATGGATGCTGCAAACAAACATTATAACGACACCTTCAAATATCTTCTACAAAGACACCATTTGCGACAAGTAACCGAACTCGCCAAACTGTAATTAATAGTCAGTGTCACTAATAATGTGCAATGGCGCCCCTGACTGCTGAACCGATGATCGTGGCTTCGATTCCCTTTTCAGGAAAGCATTCGTGTGATGAGAATGAGGTTTATTTTCTCTTTGTTTGGGTATTTATCATCTTAATACTGATATTTAAGATGAGCTTATGACCTACGTGATAGTGAGTGGTTACCGTCGCTCATGAATGTCAGCAATGCCAGGGGCAAAGCTAAATCGCTGCCTACCGATAATAACTAATTATCCGGAACCCTTATTTGTAAAATCACATGTCATAACGCCCGGGAAACACCGTGGAGCAGAGTTCTTTCCAAAGCCGGATGATACGTGGCAAGAAAAATCTTTGGAAACGGAATGCAAACAGTGTCGATCGGTCATACATTTGTTTGGACCTTTAAAGGTCGAACTGTCAAGCATATATGCCTAGTCCAATAAGATAAGATCTAGTGCCTATTGCTGGACCTAACAACTTACATGAAAGGCTCGTATGTGTAATATGCGATCCATTCTGTCAATTCTACCATGTTTTTCTTAAGTGGGATATTTTTACTGGTAGTAGGACCTCTTGTGAGTCCGCGCGGGTAGGTACCACCGCCCTGCCTATTTCTGCCGTGAAGCAGTAATGCGTTTCGGTTTGAAGGGTGGGGCAGCCGTGGTAACTATACTGAGATTTTAGAACTTATATCTCAAGGGGGGGTGGCGCATTTACGTTGTAGATATCCATGGGCTCCAGTAACCACTTAACACCAGGTGGGCTGTGAGCTCGTCCACCCATCTAAGCAATAGAAAAAAAAAATCGTACTTTGAAAGACTTAAAAACGTACATCTCATTTGAGTGAACACCAATTACAACGGATTGAATTTTAATTATTCATCAAAAGGGATTGACGAATTTTAAATTGATTGTGTCATAATGTTATTATTACGAAGTTTCAATGCCTTTAACCCGTATGCGCACTTGCACTTGAAACCGCCTTTCCAATCAACACCATTTATTTGAAGGCCACTGCATCATACCAGCGCCCAATTCCGTCCCCAATTAATTGGTATTTAATTGTAAATTGCGTGAAATACAACTTTCGATCAACACGAACATAATATTTTCTTTTTAAAAGCACACGTCTTCGTTTTTTTGAACATGTGTATGTTGTCAACCCTATATGCGTTTTGTTATGTAAACTTTTTACATATATAATGTACGCGATTGTAAGTATTCGTGAAGCGACACTGTAAATGAGTTAGCATCGTAAATTGATTTGGGTCGACCGAAAGGGGACACGTGTAAATGAATGGGGCTGTAAAAGATTTTATCTCCAGCAAATAACCGCATGCGACCAAATGACAACAGCTCTGTCGTAAACACTACAACAACAGATCAATTTTGTATGTACCTACTTGTTTGCGGTTTGGCTTTATAAAATACTAGCGACCCGCCCTCGCTTCGCTTCGGAAACTGTGATTTATTATTGATTTCTCCACTATTTAATGGATGTTATTATACATATAACCTTCCTCTTCAATCATTCTATCTATTAAAAAAACCGCATCAAAATCCGTTGCGTAGTTTTAAAGATTTAAGCATACATAGGGATATAGGAGCAGAGAAAGCGACTTTGTTTTATACTATGTAGTGATGATTTAAAATCTGCAGACCGGATTGATGGAATCATTGTGCGTCGCGTAGGAGATTTTAAAGAGAAAGCTTACGTTTAGTAACTCAATAACTTAGGTCTCATGCTTTTGTCTTCTGAACACCATAACGACTCTCACATAAGATTACTGGACCACTAAACCACATATTCTTGTAACGATTACTTCAAATAGTCAATATGTTCTTTATACTAATATTAATTTTATCCCTAAACCACGGTTTTCCTGTCCATCATTTGTTACAAATATACCTTGTGTCTGATAGCTTTTTTTTTGTCAGGAGGAAATCGCCGGACTTCCGCCCTTTTCTGGGGATACTGGGCGAGGTATGTCAGAGTCGAACTGACTAAAACCTCCTGTCGCTCAACAACCAACGTCCAAACCTCGCATGAGACAGAACTCATAACAAGGCAAAGGGGGGAAAGTGAAGCGTTTAGTGCGGAGCACATCTCTCCCATCACCCTCCCCCTCGGGACGCCGGACTGGCGGTCGTCGGCGCCACGACCACCAGCCCTCTCGGTTGGCAGACTGTCCGAAGTCCGCCTAGATGGCGCCGGTTAGACTGGGTTACCCTACGGAATACCCCGCTGGGCCAGAACCAGCGTGGGTCGAGGATAGCCGGCCTTCCATCACCCGGATTCTCTTGCGTAAAACGCGTGCAGAGCAGCTTGCACGTCGTCTTCTTAGGCCCCCCTCACCGGTCCCCAGACCGACATGTGAGGGGGACCCGAAACACTTAGAGGGCCAGGGCTTGGGCGAGGAGGCGGCGGGATTGTGCGTCTCTCACGCGCCCCGCCGCCTCCTTCTGCGAGATGGTGCACTCGCAGAAGTCAAGCATCGCCTTCCACGACTCGTCGTCGCCGAGCATCGATGCCACAACACTCGGCAACGACAAGTCGGTTCCTATTTTTGCGACGAGGACACGGCGCCACCCCTCCCATGCGGGACAGGCGACGAGCGTATGCTCTGCCGNGCGGCGGGATTGTGCGTCTCTCACGCGCCCCGCCGCCTCCTTCTGCGAGATGGTGCACTCGCAGAAGTCAAGCATCGCCTTCCACGACTCGTCGTCGCCGAGCATCGATGCCACAACACTCGGCAACGACAAGTCGGTTCCTATTTTTGCGACGAGGACACGGCGCCACCCCTCCCATGCGGGACAGGCGACGAGCGTATGCTCTGCCGTGTCCAAGTCGCAACCACAATGGTGGCACTCTGCCGTCGGCTCGGCTGTGATCCGGTGCAGGAACTCACCGAAACAACCATGCCCAGTGAGCACCTGCGTGAGCCGGAAAGTGAGGCGTCCTCTGTCACGATTCACCCAATCCACAAGGACTGGGCGAATCGCCTCGACGGTCCTACGACCAGCCGAAGGATCAGCCAGCCGTCTGGACCATGACTCCAGCGTGTCTGATAGCTACGAAATTTTACAGAAAAAAAAAACTGTGTCTTTTTATATAAGCCTGTCAGTCATATATCGTTAAAGAAACTGTCATAAAATTTCACTCCTGATGTTACCATATGAAAAGAAATATTAAAAAAAAAAAAAAAAACTATACTTACCTTTATAATCTTGTCATATTCGTCCGATAATTCACAGCAATTGACTTCAAAAGCTGCTCATCTGCCTTCGATGCAAATAGAAACTAACGGGATATCCTTATAACTTAAAGGCAATACTTTTTGTTGAACCTAGAGGCAATAGCGATAGTTTCAGCTATCACATAGCTGAGCCGCGGCCTTTTTATCTCCACTGTGTTAGTATAATATATTGTAATATTGTTTAGAATTAGAATTTTATCTCATATTAATTGAAAAATTATTTGTATTTTAAAGTAAATAAATGCAATGATTATTATCATTATTACTTTTTGTTGAAGACACATTTTAGGGGGCATCGTAAAAATTCACGTACACTTTTAATTTAACCAGGTTATACCAAGTTCGCGTGGGCTTGCGCGTGTCCCCAAAGGTGTCAGTGCACATTGAGGCCTCGGTTGCAAGTTCTAACGCCGCAGCTCGAACTGGCCGCCCTGCCGCCAACGCGTCGCTGGTCGGCGGTCTTGCAGCGTCGAGGGCTTTCCAGATAATGTACAGAAATGAGGAAGTCACGTTGCGAGATATAGTTCATTTCAGAGCCCATCTACTGGGTAAGTAATACGTGGCTGAATTATACAATCTGTACTAATATATACATCTACAATGGTTTATACGGATGTTCCGTTATAACTACTGAACCATGCATCCGATTGACTTGAAATTTGGTATTCATGTAGAAAATACATAATAAAAATAAAAATAAATTAATGGATAGGCTAATATTTATATGAGCGTTGGACTCCCTAATAATAATGACAATAAATAATAATGTTAATTTTAAATGCCCAGCGAAGCGGGCGAGTACGGCTAGGCAGTTCTTAAGGTTGTACTGTAAGGATTGCTGATTTGTTACCGCTGTCGAAGACGGTTAATGCCGTCCAAAGACATAAGCAAATCCATGTTGCAGCCTAATGTAAAATTAACTATTCCTCGATTCGCGCAATAATGGTGAGAATCACGACATCAAAGTGGGAAGTACCATGAGGAACGTCTAAAATAATTTTTTGAAAAATATCCGAAGTAGTATTATGGTAAAAAGGGAAGATGATAGATACCATTGTTATATATATATACTATTGTTGCACTACCCTTATCTTACTTTTAGGAATCACACACATAAAAATAGGCATAGCACTTATTCGTAGTGATTCTGAGCTACTTGTGTTACAGTTGACAGTCGAAATTTAAAAGAATCACTAGAACGAGCTGAGTGGAGTCTCGGCGTGGAGCTATGGTGCAGCGAAGGGGCTCAGTCCAGCACACTAGGGCCTGTCTCCTGCAGAGTCCTCAAGTTGCACTTCCAACCATCGCAGGGTCTACACTATCACTTACCTGTGCTGTTCGACTACTTCCATTTATCGGCAGTTTCCATCACCATCCACGCGAGTTTGGTTGCTTTGCATCAGCCCTACATCAAGTGAGTACCTTGCGCTTTACAAACTCTATATCAATGTTAAATTTCATATATACTTTGAGCGCTTGGATGTTCAAATACGTGGATTTAATATATTTGTTGTACGAAGTCTGTGTGTACATGTTTCTTGCGTGCATCTTCTTAATTCCGCAAATACAGGAGATAATTATAATGAAGTTTTTACTGATTAAATTTTTTTTAATGGATAGAAAGGTGAATGAGCTCATGGGCCACCCGGTATTAAGTGGTTATCACAACCCATAAACAGTGTAAATGCTGCCACCCACCATAAGACATGAGTTCTAAGTCCCAGTCCTAGAGTATAAGGGTTGCCCTACTATTCAAAACTGCCCCACTTTTCATTACTGCTTCGTGTCACAAATAGGCCAGGATGCGATACTTACCCGTGCCGGCTTATAGGACGCCCTACCAGTATCCTTTAATTTTTAATGAAATCACTGAAGATGACATTGGCGTTTTTTTTTTTCATGTCTGACAAAAGGAAAAGCATAATGCATTATGTGCAAAGTTGGTAAGTTTGTAGACTTTTGCATAAGACATCCACTAAGAATCGTCATAGTTAATTAGAAAAACGTTTGTCCTGAGAAACTGCTAAATCTACCAATGAATTCGTTACATAGGCCAAAAGAAGCTTACAATGGAAACTATAAATTTATTTACGTAACGCTATTTGACATTTTCAGTACCCCAAGATCAAGTAAGCAATGGGGTAAGCTGATGAAAAATGCAGGATCAAATTTCAACACGTCTGGTAACTTTGAAAATGTGCTTTTCGGATCCAGCGGGAAATGCGCTGGGGGAAATTCTAGTAAAATCGCTCACGCACGGTTAGTAATGTCTCCTAATAAATTTAATAAAAATAATCATAATAATAATTCATTTTGACGTTTTAACGTCTTATAATTCGATGGAGCCTTCTGCACGCACGAAAAAACATGACTCATGTGGCGTTACCTCGCTCTGAGGCGTTCCATTTAACGCTTGAATTGCAAGCGAGAGCGCGCAACGAGCGACAAAGAGGCACAATCGGCCTCCGCGTTCGGCAGCGTTCGACGTCTGTCTCTCTCCTACTTGAGTGAGCGATGCTTCCGCGTGGACAGCTGCTATACAATAATACATTTACATGTTTTCGTCAAGTATGAAGTTCAGTGAAAAGTGAATGTGGTGTCAATTGTTTATAGCAACGATAATTGCAATAATTGAAAAATGAAACCATTCCATCAGTATTTTCTTATGACGTTGTCACGTTCAACTATCGTCAGTAAACCGACTACCGATTACCGATTTTTTTCTTTTATTTCAGACAAGTGCATGCTGAAGTTTGTGGTATTCTTCTTGGTTCGTTGGAGGGCTTGCAGAGCGCACTCACAGTATGTGGATCGACTGGCGTTATGCTCACTCCTGAAGAATCTTCTTCAAGCTCTGTCATCGGTGAAGTGGCACAAAGAATAAAAGATCTTAGTGACTTTGGAAAGGTATGATTTTTTTTATTGCTTAGATGGGTGGATGAGCTCACAGCCCCCCTGGTGTTGAGTGGTCACTGGAGCCCATGGGCATCTACAACGTAAATGTGCAACTCATCTTGAGATATAAGTTCTAAGGTCTCGGTATAGTTACAACGTCTGCCCCACCCTTGAAACCGAAACGCATTACTGCTTCACGGTAGAAATAGGCAGGGCGATAGTACCTATCCGTGCCGACTCACAAGAGGTCCTTTTTTTTAACGCTGGGGAATCCATTTACGGATACCCGGTCACAAGAGGTCCTACCATCAGTAAGAATTGTAATTGATCTTTAATATGTCGCCCTACAGAAATTTAATTTATAATAACTTGTAACAAGCATTTCAAATTAATATCTGGCGGCTATACCACCCGAAGCAGCGATTAAAACGTATTGAAATATCCCGATATTTTTCTTCAGAAATCAGAATGCGGAGAAGACGAAGAATGGGCGATGAGTGCGGCCCACGACATCGCGCGGCTATGTGCTGAAGTGACTTTGCGTTGGAGAGCATTTCTACATCACACAACTGACCGACCTCATGTTCACCACGCACTAGCCGCTAGGCATCACGCTCTACGGTTAATATCAAATAGTATTACTATATTTTGCTATGCTTGATACAAAAAAACGTAATAGATTCATAACCTAATTTACCTTTCAGAATTAAACGATTTTCTGAGTGCTTTTTCGTGTTGGATAATCCACGACATTCACTAGCTGGGTGTTATGACAGCAACTACCAGTCTTACCAGAGTATCGGGGATGTAGCACGAAGATCCAGATATTTAGCTCTGCTTCCGCCTCTCCCGGTACATTGTATTGCCCTTGACGGTGATCCACACATCATGCCTATCATTTTTGAAGACCGGTTAGTATATTTTAATATTCAGATCACAAAAAAAAACTTTTCATACCATATTTGAAACTTATATTTTTTATATCAGATATCAAGATACGGCTGAATTCGCAAGACGACGTTCATTTTTGAGTTCTAATGCAAACAAATCAGGCAGTGGTGAGTGATAAACAAGAGATTTCGCAAACAAAAAACCTTTATGTAAAAATCAATTCCAAATATTTCTATTACAGATCCACTTTTGAATTCAATACCTATTGGAAAAGAGTGTGTATGTACGGTGAGTTCAAGAAGACCATCATCAGAAGCATCGAGAACGCCAAAAACGATTATGGATGTCCTCGAGCCTCAATTTCAAGCACCTAAACCAAGTTCCAATATTGTTCAAGCTACGTTAACATTAGCGCCACAGAAATCTACACGAGCTTCTCCCAAGATGACTACAGTAAAAGGAAACAACCTTGTTGAAGTAATGAAACCTCACAATAAACAATTAGAAATAACTGGACGAAACAGATATATTGTGCAAAACAATCAAATAAGTGAAATACAACTGCCCCCTAACAGATCTTTTGGTTCATATTCCGCACAACAAGGACAACAATTATCAAGGTATTCTGCATCTACTTTAGATATGAATAGTTCTAAAAGCACAACCAATGTTTCTCGATCGGGTAAAGACAGACATGATCGCAACGACAGTTTTCGTCCGAAACATGATGTAACCAGTGGCGTTAGTACTTTACCTGCAAGACACAGTAAATCGTTAGACCAATTAAGAGTATCACAAATGACCCCAACGAATCCTACACAGAGGCTATCGAAAAATTCAACGAATAATTCTCAGTCTTCAGTGAACTACCCAAAACAATATCAACCACAACAAACAGTTAAACCTACTACTTTACCCAGAAGCGTCACAACTACTAATTACCCAACAAACACAACTGCAAGATGTTCATCAAAAGGAGATGACTATAGGAGGAACATTAGTGAATTTAGAGAAAAATATAAAAACCCGTGCAATATGAACATCAATCCACAAGGGAATAATGAAGTATTCCATAGCGTAGGATATAAGTATGATGGTGCGGTGAAACCTAATCCTAACCAAATCTACGGCTATACTTTCGGTAATCAGGGTACTCTACAAACGAACAACCTAATTCGGAATCCCTTAGAATTTCAAAGAGGTTACAATGTAAATTTACCCCGTCCTATGTTACCTCCGCGTAATTCATATCCACCAGTGAGTGGTAAAGTACAATCAGTTGATCAAAGTAACTTAGTTTCTAGTAAACAAGTGCATCGATCCAACTCCACCCATGTTTTCCATCAAAATATGGAGAATCCACAACTAGACATTGAAGCTGCTCGAAACCAACTTCGATATGAACTAAATTACTATCTTCAAAAGGGGGACTGGAGCTACGATTTTAATACAGGGAGTCTTATTCAAAACTATCAAAAGAAATCTAGTAAAAGTAGTGATGATAGCGGGTTTGTTATGACTCTTGATAGAAGCAGTGATGGAACATCAAAATCTACTTATTCAAAAACACCTCCTTCTACTCCTCATTCTACAATGCCTTCTGTAAGACATAAGAAAAGCCGTTCGAAAGAATCTAAGCTAAACAATAGTGGAAGAGAAAATACAAAAATAAATTCGAGCCGAGATTCCATAAGCAGTCATCACTCTATTAAATCCAGGGACAGTAAATCAGATCGTCATACGTCGAAGTCAGAACGTAGCACTCCAAAATCAGGAAGAGCAACTCCGAAATCCGGAAAAACCACACCTAGGTCTGGAAAAGCCACCCCGAGATCAGGATTAGCTACACCGAAATCAGGACGAGCTACACCGCGATCAGGCGTTGCCACTCCCAAGAGTGGTAGATCAAGTGGAAAACCAGAAAAACGAACAAAACATAAGCCGTCTGAAAAAATGTCACAGCTAATGTCAGAAGCCGCTTCTTCATCAAGCAATGAAAGTATACCATTTGAACTAAGAAGGCTAGAGCAATCTGCCAGTGTTCCTTATAGTCTGGACCACGGACCAGAATTACTACGACATTGCCGAAGTGCGGCTTCTGTATTGGATGAACCAAACATAAACAATAATTTTGGTTCAGAATCGTTACCCAACCTAGCTCCACCGCCAGCATTTGAATCTCCTCCTCTTGACATAGATGATAAAGATTTCAAGATTTTGCCACCAGCAAGCTTTTTAAGTAAAGAGGAACAACGCCGTAGAAGTAGTTCAACATCGAGCTTAAGTGAACAAAGTGGATGGGTATCCAGTGGACGCAGTTCAGGTCCCTCTTCTCCTGACAATGCCAATAGTCAATTAAATCAAAACTTTGCGTCAAATTTTACAAGAACTCCAAGTAAAACTTACGAAGATCCTACTAATAACGAAAAATCAGATGGCAAAGCTATAAATGATTTTAAAAGAACGGTCCTTAATGGAGAACAGCTGCGTGAACGATTATTAAAATTGGCTGTGAAAGTCGCTCAAAATAATAGTCATGAAAAAATTGAATGCTGTGATAAAGAAGTATGTGAGGAGTGCACTATTTGTAGCGATTCGATATGTACCGATAGTCAATGCGAATATAACAAATTGATGCATAGTAACGGAATAGATACAGGTTGCAATTCAGACACTTGTTCGGCGTCTTGTTTTCGACAAATGCCGGAAACTAATTCAAAATCTAATCAAAGGCATAATTCGTTCAGTGCCACTCAAAGCAAGTCATACAGTGCAACCCCAAAAAACTCAAATGAGGGTACGGTAAAAAAATCACAAACCATAAGCGATAATCTCCATCCTTACATTCGGAAAGAAATAACTCCTAAACCCCCACCTGTTCCAATAAAATCCAACAATATTGATAAAACTAAATTGAAGGATAGAATCCAATACACTGAACGATTGATAGCCGAAGAAATAAGAAGCTTGACTGTGGAACGTCCTTGTAAAAGTCATAACAAAAAATCTGCATCAGATAGACCATCAGCAGCATCAGTGCAAAAATACCAAAATAAAGCAAAATCAGAAATTAACTTATCGCATTTCATCGGCGATAATGATTACGAGCACTTGCCTCCACCGCAACAGTTTAGGGATGCACCTCCACCGCCCGATGAGTTTAAGGTAACAAAGGTTCTGTACTAATTCTTTATTTGATCAAATTTGTAACCAAAATATGAAACACCGTATTAATAATATACAGTTATTTTCGCAGGATCCTCCATTAAAATCTCCGAAGCTAAGTCGATCGAGTAGCAAGTCCTCGACTCCATCGAAGACCTCTAAACAACAGATTCAACCGTCAACATTGCAATTGGACAATCCCCTTTATCACGTCTGCGAAGGTAAACGATTGCATTAAATCGGATATAGCTTAAAACTGTAACAAAACTAACACGCGCTGTGCTTGATTAGGAATAATGGAAAGAAGAAAACTGAGACCACATCAATCAGCTAAATCCGGTGGTGTTGCTTCAGTTAGTACTCTTAACAAAAGTCAGAGTACTGGAGAACTGGCAAATAGAAATGAAAACGGCAATAACAAAGGTAGAGTAGTGTAATCAATAATTTAATTTATTCTAAGTGGATCTTGCCCACATCCGTTACGAGTTAACAATTCATCGAGTTGTTTTTTTCAACTTTACAGAGAATCGTGAGAGCAATTTCGTGAGCATATTTGGACTGGCTGAATCCGAAAGACTTTTTGTGAAATGTAGAGACGAATTTAGGCAAAGTGTCAAGTACCCTGGAGCCATTTACTCTGATTTTCCTCCCGTTGAAAATTCTCTTCCATATTTTCATATCAGCGATGAATATCGAATGTTTAATCCTGAAGGTAATTTTTTTATTAATTCGATTAAATCGTCAAAATACCCTGCTGGTGTTACGAAAGGAAATACACTAGTACTACTACTACTACTATCCGTCCCTGTTCCCGTTATCTGGGGTCGGGTCTCCTCACTCTACGGCGTCAGGCTGATCTGTCCTGGGTTATCGGTTTTGGCAATTGGGCTTTCTTAAGGTCTCTTTCGATGTTTGACCACCAGGTCCATGGCGGGCGGCCTCAGCCCAATGCGACCTTTACCATATGATCTTCGTCCCGTTTCATCATACGGCCATACCATCTAAATATTAAATAATACACAACAGGACAAAACCAAGCAAAGTATCAAATGCACGATTGTTCTCGACCCCTAATTTCTGAAATTTAGTAACAATTAAAAGCTTATTATTTTTTATTTAATCACCACATTGGCTTTTTGAGCAGACATTATTAGCAGTAAAAATAAATGATAGATTGCATATATTTTGATTTTATCACGTATTTTAATATTTTACTATTTTTATGAAGTATTTTTATTTTTTCCTAGGGTTGCATTTAATAATTTGTGTACACGGATTGGACGGTAACGCAGCTGACCTCCGACTGGTGAAGACTTATTTAGAACTAGGATTACCAGGTGCAAGATTAGATTTCCTTATGTCGGAGAGGAATCAAGGCGATACATTCTCAGACTTTGACACAATGACTGATAGGTATGAATATATATTATCTATACTTAATATTGTAAAGCTGAAGAGTTTGTTTATTTGAACGCGCTAATCTCAGGAACTACTGGTCCGATTTGAGAAATTCTTTCAGGGTTAGATAGCCCATTTGTTGAAGAAGGCTATACTAATACAAGTGGAGCACCAATAAAGAATGTTTCAAAATAGGGGTTTAAATAGCTCCCTAAGATTCTATAATTTAAAATATTTTCACTTTATACGTAAATGAAGTGGGGGGTAAAATTTTGCGTTATGACAAAGTAACTATTCTACGCGGACGGAGTCGCGGGCAAATGCTATAATAGTTAATAACAAAATGAATTAGTTTGAATCGATTCCCTTGCTCTGGATATTTAATATATTTATATATGTGTACATATTGAAACGTATATTCGTATCAATCTCTGGTTCTCATAATACCTACAAGGAATCACAGTTTGGAGTCAGATGACTACGTGAGATTTGATTCCGCTTATTTATCAATTACTTATTTATAGGCTGGTTCAAGAGATTCTTACTCACATCCAAAATTCGAGCGAACCCGCTAGAATAAGCTTCGTGGGCCATTCTCTCGGTACTATCATAATAAGATCAGCATTAGCGAGGCCTCAAATGAAGCCATACCTCGGGAAGCTACACACGTTTCTATCTTTGAGCGGTCCCCACCTCGGCACACTGTACAATTCTAGCGGATTAGTAAATGCTGGTGAGTAACCAAAATAGTTGTATTACCTTATTCGCAATTCGTAAAAATAAATGAAGTACCATGTTCAGGCTTATTCTTACGTTTTGTGCTGTCATTATGACGTATATATAATCAAAGGTCATTATATTATTTAATAGCTTATACGAGTAGTTTAATATTCCAATATCGACGAATAACAACCCGAAAACTGTAAAGTATTCGAATCATCGGAAATAAATGAAATAATAAATGGGAGTTAAACTGTCAAAGTAGTGTTAGTTGTGTAAAACAATTGTATACAAATATAAATATAAAACTATAGGTACTTAAAAAAAATATGATGAATTAAATCGAATAATAGATTATTTTTTTCTTACTCTATATTCTATAAAGTTTGAGAATCAACGCCGCGTCCCAAAATGTAATTACCAATTGAGAATTCAACTTCTTGTCTCAAAGTAGCTAGCGACTTTCACCTTAAAATGTCTACTGGCTTCGTTAACAATTTACGCATTAAAAACGAAAACTATGAAAAAATAAACAAATTTCAGGTATGTGGTTCATGCAAAAGTGGAAGAAATCAGGCTCCTTACTGCAGCTGTCCCTTCGAGACGCGTCTGATCCTCGCCGCTCGTTTCTCTACCGGCTCAGCGAGAGAAGTCAGCTGCATCAGTTCAAGCACATCCTGCTCTGTGGCTCCGGCCAGGATAGATACGTGCCGTTGCACTCTGCTAGACTCGAGCTCTGTAAAGCTGCTGCGAAAGATACTTCTTTGTTGGGACAGGCTTATCGAGAAATGGTAATTATTTTTGGAACGAAGTTCTTATGGGACGATGCGGAGGGGTACCCTAACCGGGAAAAACGTTCGTAACGTAAGACTTTTATTAGTAATGCACACAGTGTACGACTTAACTTTGTAATAACGTACAAAAAATAACATATTTTTTTTATCATTCATTAACCACGATCTCAGAGTGTTCGTTTGCGCAATACACTAACTCTTATGCAAACAACCGTGAATGAAGTGTACCACAATAAGTTCGCACGTTACCGAATGACCATGGGTTGTTGCGAAACCTTATTATTTTCTTTTATTTCTTTTACCAGTTTTATTTTCTTTATACCTCGAATAGAACTTAAAACATAATATTTTTATAATAAGGAAATTCGTTCCTATCCGGTGTCCCACGACACCACACACCTTTTTTATAAGCTTACGGACAGAAACTTACTTTAACATCTTGAGAGCCCGCACAGGTATGTATGTACCACCACTCTGCCGATTTCTGCCGTGAACAGTAATATTTTTCGGCATGAAACTGAGACTTAGAGCTCATGTATCAAAGAGGGTGGCGACATTTACGTTGTTGATGTCTCTGTACTCCGATTACCACTTAACTGAATAGTGTGCAATACATCAAAAAATATTTAAAGCACACACGACGTAATTGAACGTGATCAAATCATCCGGCAAGTATGAAATCCCTCAAATTGTTCACAAATGACTTCCACTACTAATTATCGTGGTATATAAATAAAAACTGCTTATTTTGGCACCAAATTAGTCATACATTCTGTTTGAAGGGCGAAACAGTCTTTTTACCTCACAATTAAGGTTCGACACTGTTTCCCAAAGTAGTAGTTGTAGTAGTGAGTAGTATTCTAAGTCGACATCACACAACGAGGTTTCTGTGTACCGATACTTAAAAAAACTTGGTTTGCAAACTGTGCAAAAACATTTGCGTAATGACTTTAAAGCTTGCAAACCATTGTCTTAAACAAGCTCAAAAATATGGCTGTTTTATTTCTTTTCCGTGTATATTTCAGGTTCACAACATGGTGTCTCCACTAGCGGCCCGCGCGTCCGCCGTGTCCGTGGTGCGGTATGACGTGCAACACGCGTTACCACACACGGCAAGCGCGCTGGTCGGCAGAGCTGCGCACATCGCCGCCCTAGACTCTGATCTATTCATCGAAAAATTCCTTCTCGTGTCTGCACTTAAATATTTCCGATAATTCAAACACACTCGTGGCTACCTACAGTCAAAAATTCCTTGTATTTTAAAACAACTCAACAATTTCGTAACCTCTGAGCAAAGTGTTATCCAAAACGACTCTAAAAATAATCGCGGGATAATCACAAAACTCCGCTTTCCTTCAAAATTACATTGAAAATTTCGAAATTGACTTCACATGCTAAATCTTAACACGAGCACTTTTTCGAATTCAAATTTCTAATTAATTCGAATTTCGTTTCTGAATTCAATTACTAATATAGCTATTACTTACTAATTGTTTCAAAGTAATGCAAATTATCAAGACAAAAGTGTGATATATTTATTAAATAAATCGACAAGATCACGGACAATGCCCGTTAACCGAAATCATGACTAAGTAGAATAAGACGGATCTTTACACCAAATAACTAAGACTTCAACTTAGAAATCGCAGGTTTAATGTAAGTAAGTAGATGTTATTTGTAAATTATTGTCTACATGAATGACTGGTAATATATGTAGTAGTTTAAACTCGTCAAGGTTTTAATGTTTATTTAATGTAAGTTCACATTTACCCAAATTTGTGATATGACCCAAATCGATCTTAATGCATATAAAGTACTGTTTTGTCAACAACAATGTTTTTTAGATAAGTCAAAAAGTCACTTTAGTCAAATTCTCGTCAAAAATCAAGAATTTGGCAAGAAAAGATGCAAATAAAGGGTACATGCGTTATGTGACTACATTCATTTTTTAAATTTTAATTAGTATGATAAAAGTAATATTCGCCTAATTGACGTTTTAGTGCGTAAACTATTGAAGCGCTCGGAATTCACGTAAACTCTGGGTTTATATTGTATATATTTTTTGGACAAATAGATTCCAATTAAAAAACGTTTCTAACACAAACAGATTTTAGGCATACAGCGATAATGCGACAACGTTTTTTTTTTTTTGCGTACGTCGATGAAGCAATCTTAGCCTAAGTTCTGTATAGTGGTTACCGAGACCCATCGACACCACAATGTGGAAGCCATCCACCTTGAGATACGAAATCGAAGTCTCAATTGTATTACATATGGCTGTCTCACCCTTCAAACTGGAACGGATGACGGCCGTGGTTGGAGCAGTCCAATATATTAAAAACACGCGACTTTTCTATTTGTCCAGCGAACGTCTATCTGTGTGCTTAGTGCGAGTTTCATAACGTTCTCGATAGCGTAAAAGTTAACCCAATTTTGTATGCAGTTGAAATAGCGCCCCTAGCGACAAACGTACGCAAACGATCCCGCATACAAATATGAGCTAACTTTTACGCTATCGTGAACGTTAAAAAACTCGCACTAAGCACACAGAACGCGTGTTTCGTGTAACGCGGAAAGTAAACGCTTAATCCAAATGAGCCATGAGCATAATATATATATATAATATACCTATATAGGTCACATAAATACAAAAATTTACTTAAAGTTTATTCCTTCCTATAAATGCCTTGTTCTAAATCCCGAAAATATTAGCTTAACTCAAATTTAACTATTTCGTAATATGTGGATCCTTACGTAAAGGTTTTTAAACGCAAACGTTGTATGCTCATGGCTTAATACAATCGGATGATCAAAAGAAATTCGTATGCAGCTTTCATATTTTATTGTTAGCCTAACGAAATTTGTGGTTTTGTAATTATGTAAAACTTATCGAATGTTAGACTGATGTTTGAGATTATACGATCAGTAAAACTTAAAGGATCTTCATTTTGAATCGTTCTTTAAAGAAGTACCTCCTATGTTATCGAGAGAGCCATTATCATCATCATCAGCCTATAGAAGTCCACTGCTAGACATAGGCTTCTCCAATTGTTCGCCACTGAGCACGATCCTCGGCTTCTCTCATCCAGTTCCTGCCAGCCACCCTACACAGATCATCACTCCACCGAGCCATAAATTAAATTATTGTGTGAAATAAAAGACAGTCATGAAAGTGATGAAAAATTGATTGTCGTTCCCTAATGATTGAGGGCGGTTCAAAATGTGGAACAAAAAAGCATTTTTATTACAGTAGATATTTTGGTTTTATAACGTTTTCTCTTGCTCTGTCCAATAATTTCGACTTGTATTGTAGATAATATTCATACAGGGGCTTATTTAATTCTATAGTAAATAATCACTAAGTAATTGCTCAGTATCTATCTGAACATACTGAACACCGTTTTCAAATCACTAATCAGAATCGAAATACAGGATCTCGTTTTTTTTTATTTAGAAATATGTATAATTAGAATGTAACTCTAATACGAATGTTATAAGATCTTCAACTGTCTTCGGTACAAAAAATGCTATCAGTAAAATACATCCCTAAAGTAGATGCATTAATTCATTTTTTATGAATAAAAATGCAAAAAGGTTTTAAAATTGAAATGCTTGAATGCAAGAAGTACATATTTTTAAGAGTAAATGATAATTTATCACTACCAACACATTCTTAGCAAAAATGATAAGCTTTATCGTAAGTTTTGACAGTTTACGAAAAAAAACTTTTTCTAGTTGTTTTATTCATTTCATAATTTGACATTACCTACCTACAGTTTTTGAAATGTCAAAATACAAGTAGACGGAAAATTCATTAATTATAATTAAGTTAATAACATAGACAGAAATTAATAAAATAGACACGGGTTAAGCCGTAAAACTGCCTCTGTCCTTCTCATTTGGTCATAACTATTTAACTATTTAGGATCGCCGCTGACTAACGTATTTTTAAATGGCCATTTGCAAAAAAACAAATACCGTAAAATGGGGCGATTAGGGACAAATTCCAACTTTATGAGCAATTTTAAGGTAGTTGTTGATGTATATAATGCTATATCAGGATCAAAATGATTGAGTCTTGGGGGCATCTTTGTTGTCTAATTTAAAATTATGCAACTAGCATTCCAGTTTAAGCAAAAAATGCAAAAATAGGTGTAATCCCTATTTACCCGAAAATTGCGGTTAATTGGGACGAAATGAGAAATTTGCTAGGGTTGGCACTACTTTTATTTTTATATATAGTTTTAATTTATTTATTTATTTAGTTGCACCAACAAAGTGATCATCAATAAAAAAAATTGAAAAACTGACAAAAGTACATGGCAGACATCACCTCAATTATAGGTGCAATCGACAGTGCTGATATTTCTATCTGGGTTAAGAGATTAGGTGTGTCGGTTATTCCATGGATTAATCAGATGAATACCCCCACTCTGAACAAATATTAAATATTTTATTATGTATTACTTAGACATTTTTGTCCACCTTGAGATTTCATTGATCTTGTTACATGTCTCTGCAAAATCGACTTACTTATATTAAATTGCTTATCTATTTCAAATAAAGACTTATTCCCAATTTCGCTTCGAATAAACCAGATATTTACCAACAAATTTAAAAAATATTGTTATAACTACATAGACAACCCTACAAACCGGTACCTATTTATACTTAGGTCGTTTCCATTTCACGTATTCTCATCCCAATTGACCCCTTTTTCGTTGTTATTTGTACCTAACACATCCCCAATATCCCCAAAAACAACAGATTTTTACATGTATTTTTATTTAATCAAATACATTAAAACCAATAACAACTGAGACTTACCTTTAATATATATGTTGGTTCAAACACTAAATAACGTTTATAAATCATAGTCGTCTTCTATTATTATCAAATAAATAAAAGAGAGCAAAGTCTCTAGCACTAAAATAATGACCACCACAGGAAGTTAATTTGAAACGCGATTTTTTATAAGTTAGCAGCTATTATCATGCATATTCAGAGTTGTTTTCTGAACTTTCAACATTCTACTATTAAACTACAAAAAATGGAAGATTTTGCAACGAATATAAAACTTATATTGAGCGTCGAAAGATTTTCCCGGTTTTTTCCCGATTCGCCTGTCAATCCCTAATCGCCCCATTTTACCGGTACAATCATTTATCTTTAACTAACTTTTTTAATTTTTTTTTTTTTTTTGTATTTCAGTATAATCACGGATATTTTTGCATACATTTTATGCATTACATTTTCTCGGCTGTTATACTTTTGACTTTAAAACGAACTGTTCCAAAATCAGTATTTCATCGCTAATACTAAAACTCGGCTGAACTAAACACACTACCTGCTCCTAATTCTAGAACATTCTTATTAGAGAGCTCGCCTTTCAAGCCAATGTGTATTAACCAGTCTCCTAATAAAAATGCTTCTCTCCATACTTGACGGCCCACTAAAAATCATTGCATGAATCGAAAAATGTTGCTTTTTTTTATTTGCACTCCAGGATTATAATAATATTATATAAAAGTCCACAGACATAGAGGACTTGGTAGTTCACTGCCTTTATATATTTGAATTTGGTTCATAAGCTACATTCTAGATTAGCAATGGTTCTAACAATATTATTTCGATTTTTTTAAGTTATATTTTTTGTGAGCGTACTGAGAGCTTTTATACTAAACTGCAACTATGCGACATACATATGTACATATTGACACTATTTACAGACCAGCTAACCTTTTATGTAGGTACCTACATACACTAGCATTTTTCAATTTATTAACAACAAAAACTTATATACGTTTGCGTTCTCTAACATATTCTGACCATTATTCCAAAACTCTAACGTCTTCAAGATTGACACAGTAATCTATATAAAATATATAAAAATGAATTGCTGTTCGTTAGTCTCGCTAAAACTCGAGAACGGCAGGACCGATTTTGCAAATTTTGGTCTTCAATTATTTGTGGAAGTCCAGAGAAGGTTTAAAAGGTAGATAAATATGAAAAAGCTCGGAATTTATTTATTTTGAATATTTATTTTGTTTTATAATTTTTATTTTGAATTGAATTTATTTTGTTTTTCCTTTGATGCCCCCCCTGTCGTACGGATTCCTTTTGTTTGTTTTAAGATTATTTTATACAAAAGTTTAGGTATTTTATTTATCGATTGAGGCACTACGAAGTCTGCCGGGTCAGCTAGTATGTGATAAATAACTGAAACGCCGTCGATTGTCGTGCCGTTGTAACGAACATTCTACTTACTTGTTCTTTGAAATTTGCGCAATTACTGGTTGGGGGGAATATTGTCTGCCCACCCGGGAAGGTACCGCTATGGATATATCTGCCGTAACCGTTATTTTTTATTGTTTAATCAATTTAACGCTAAGAACCTGAAAGATCACGATATTTTTTTTCCTACCTAAGCTGATGGTCTAGAGAGACCATATCATCGTCGCCGGGCTAGTAGGTGAGCTCACGGGGCTCAAGCCTGACGTTGTTGCTAACACGTACGAAGCATGGCAAGAGCCATGCTTTGCAGAATCTACCACCGGATCGGAAACGCAACCTACTAAGAAGAACCGGCGAAAAACTCAGTGGGCTAAATCTCGATAAGAATGCTTTAAACATTTCGTTAGTTATTTTTTTCAATATCTGTTGTTAATAAGGCTGAAAAACGTATACGGCGAAATCTCTTCGTAATTTCAAAGAATGTTCTTTTCTTGCTTTAGGTGGATCCGTTAAGTGTTAAATAGTTACTCCTTCATAATATATTAGCAAGAACAACAACAAGTATATCCCACCCTTCAAACTGGAATGGAAGACTGCTTCGTAACAAAAATAGCTAGTACCTTCCCGTACGTACTGAGTGCATACTCTACCGTCAGAAAAGCTTCAATAATTTTACTCATAATAATTGANATGTTCTTTTCTTGCTTTAGGTGGATCCGTTAAGTGTTAAATAGTTACTCCTTCATAATATATTAGCAAGAACAACAACAAGTATATCCCACCCTTCAAACTGGAATGGAAGACTGCTTCGTAACAAAAATAGCTAGTACCTTCCCGTACGTACTGAGTGCATACTCTACCGTCAGAAAAGCTTCAATAATTTTACTCATAATAATTGAAATAAATATATACGTTTCTTTTTAACATAATGTTACTAAAGTGAACCTTGAAATCGCGGATAAGTTTTCAATAACATTACATATTCCTGAAATTAGGCAGTCACATCTGAAAACGTTATTCCCCTCATTGTCCCTAATGCTAAGTGAAAAAAATTCAGCTATAGTTAGGTAGTGCGGCATCGCAATTTTTCTTTAGATGAAGACATTATAAGCTGCAATTTTTTTTTATTTAAAAAAAGGAGACTACATAGTATAAATATCATAATCAATAATTTGTGATTTTGAAACGGTTACATAATTATGTATGTCGTAGTCGTATTAAAAACGAAAAAGTTATGTAAATATAAAATCTAGAAGAATGATTTTTTTATTTGTAAATTATATGTTCAATGTCAACGTATTGATGTTATACACTTATAAATAAATAATAAAGAAATTCCAAAAAACAAGACATTTCAGTCTTCCAGTAATATTAATTTTCTGTAAGCGTCGGCGTCCCCCCGGTGAAGGTCACGCGGTGACCTGTGTGCTTAGTGCGAGTTTTTTAACGTTCTCGATAGCGTAAAAGTTAGCTCATATTTGTATGGAATTGGATCGTTTGCGCGTACGTTTGCCGCTAGGGGCGCTATTCCAACTGCATACAAAATTAGGTTAACTTTTACGCTACCGAGAACGTTAAGAAACTCGCACTGAGCACACTGAAACATTAGAGGCCGCGCGGAGAACTACCAACACTCTAGCACGCTGCCAAGGAGTAACCTCACTATCATCGTGAAAAGAGTGACGGATTGGGGTTGTATCGCATCCTGACCTAGCAGACGGGCTCTAGCCAAGCGGGGTATCCCGGGACATCTCCGTACCGAGACCGCCGACCTCCAGAGCCTTCGATTCGCCTCGAAGGCTTCGTCAGTCGGGCATTCTTAAGATGAGCCGCGCATCTAGTTGCAATGTTGACCGCGGTAACGTCCTTACCCCGTCCTGATTCTAACCTCGGGGGGATCAGACTTGCGCGAGAGTGTAGGGGAGTTGTTTAACGGATAAGGTCCCAAATTCCGCCCAAAGCTCGCGGTCCGCTCTTAGCATCTGCAGACCTTTCAGTTCTCATACCCCGCGCACCCCCAAGGTGCGGGGACCTCGTAACGTTCGGCTCCCGGCTCTAATAAAAAGGTTTCACCACTTTATGGACTCACTCGTGTTTCTCGAAAATTTAATGTCTGAAATGCCAATACATAGATAGCTTTAGACAACAATTCAAAATATTGTCTATCAAAAAAAATACACATACAATCTCACTTTGGAAGATTAGTCCCGAAAATCGGTAGGTCGGATCGGTAGGCAGCGGCTTGGCTCTGCCCCTAGCATTGCTGAAGTCCATGGGCGACGGTAACCACTCACCATCGGGCGGGCCGTATGCTCGTCTGCCGACAAAGGGCAATGAAAAAACTGTATTTCCAAAAACGAAGATATTCGAGACTTGTTGAGTCTTAAATATTAAGTGATTAAATTATCTATGAACTTAAACTATCAAATTAAAACAACTCACATATCTATCTCTTAGGTTTATGGCGTTTCTTTTTAGATTTCGCCAATGTGAAGTGTATTTAATACTCTGCTTTCTATAGCGGGCTTCGTGAACGAGCAAGGTCACAACAACTCACATATCATCGCCCCTCGCGTTCCCGCCAAAATATTATAATACATTTATTTATTAAGTAGATAAGACCAAAAAGTCCTTTTCTTTCACTTAATACTAAAAGTTAAAAGGGATTTTATGACCTGATAACGGAGACCTTTAAGTCATGTCTTATTTTAATTTATATTCATATTTTTATGAAAAATGATAATATGGAGTGAAATGGAATGAAGATCATTAATTTGAGACATTAATCAGCTGGGATGAAATTAAATGAAATGAAATGAGATGATATGAGATGAAATATAATCTCAGTAAAATTGTGGTCATTTACTAAGATTTTTTCAGTGGACTTTTTGGAGGATACCGCGAAGCTACGTCCAGCGGCTTTGTTTCATTTTCCCACATTTGTGCACTTTCACAGATATTAAACAGTTAATAAACCACCATTATTACACATTTAAACCTGAAGAAACACTAAATAGACAAAATAAAACAAACCACACAACTTCACTCGTCGCGTTCCCGCCAAAAAGTCCCTCACATCACATAATACTTGTAGGTACCTACCTATAGAATCTACATACCTGTCATTTTCATTTCTGTTCTGGATTTTTTGGCGGGAACGCGAGGAGTGAAGTTGTGTGATTTGTTTTATTTTGTCTATTTAGTGTTTCTTCAGGTTTAAATGTGTGATAACGGTGGTTTATTAACTATCAAATATCTGTGAAAGTACACAAATATGAGAAAATGAAACAAAGCTGCTGAACGTAACTTCTCGGAATCCTCCAAAAGTCCACTGAAAAAATCTCAGTAAATGACCACCATTTTACGGAGATTATAGTTCATCCCATATAATCTCATCTCATTTCATTTAATTTCATCCCAGTTGATTAATGTCTCAAATTAATCATCTTCATTTCATTTCATTTCACTCCATATTAGCTTTTTTCATTAAAATAAGAATATAAATTATAATAAGATATGACTTAAAGGTCTTAGTTACCAGGTCATAAAACCCCGTAAAAATTTCTTTTCTACAGATTATACGGCACCGAGTCGTACCGTATCTACTCATTCTAATCATTCATTTAAACGTCAAAGCAGTCTTGCCATCCTTGTAGTTTTTCATTAAATTAGAGGTTTTAGTATAAAACTAAAGTAGTCATAATTTTTATATCTGAAAATATAAAACACACAAAATCATCTTGAGCTTCAATCATTAAAATCGTAAAATAGTTCCCATTGAGTAATCTTCCTTCGTTCATCTCGCATCGATAACATCTTACTGCTTTACGACTGTTTACAAAAAGAAAAAAGAAACACAAAATGAATAATGTATTACGTCAAGGAGTATACCACCAAACATACGTAGCATCCAGCATTCCCACTAAGAAACTATAGCGGTTCAGGACTTTTTCCGAAACAATATACATAAATTTGAACTACATTAATAAAATAAATTATTATGCCGAATAAATATCCGATATCATAACTAATCGATTAAAAAGCGTTGAAACCCCATATGATTTTTGTACTTCAGTTTAAATGACTTTCCGAACCAGTTTTGAAACCTACCAAGATCAAAATACTATTTACGATTATAAATATATTTATCTAATATTTAGGCTTCCACAAGGTAGACTGACGAACTATTGAGGCTCGCAGGAATTCGCTAGATGCAGACAGTGCATGATAAATTGTTGTGGCGAGGGTTGAAGGAGGCCTATCCCAGCAGTGGACATCTGTGGCTGAACGTGGACATCTGTGGTGTGACAATGGGATAAATTTATCTAATCTTATAATTATAAAAAAATATATTTATTCTTCCAGTTAAAGGTGGATTTCTTTTGTGTTTCTGAATTATCCTTTAGAAAGTGAGTTTAACTTTTTAGAAATAAGTCTCGTTGTTTGTTCCAGCCTCATGTAAATTATCTCTCACGTCCGAAGTTGAATTTATGATTTCAAGGCAACACTTTGTCAAAATTCAAATTTTCATTTTGTTTCATTTTTTCTTTTCATTCGCTTGCTAGAGTTACGTAGGCTAGGTTGTGTCTGTTACAGTCAAACAAAATCAAACAGTAGGGTAGTTTAATTAAAATCCAATATTTTATTAATAAATAAACGACTAAAAGTTTGTACTATGTTCAGTGATAAATGAAATTTAACAGTGCTGTTTTAAAAATACGGTCTTTTGGGCCATGCAGTGTATTTTGCGGATGAGAATATTCTGACCGTAAAGATATTTATAAAAATGGGAAAATTATTGAGTCTTTTATCGCGTGACGAGTCGCATTGCTGCTCGTCGCCTCGATATGATATATTCTTGGATTTCGAGAATGCCGCGCCCACAATGACCGAACGCGATGTTTACGACGATGTCCAAAGAGTCCTGTTAGAATCCGAGAAGATATTAGAAGAGATACAGTGTTATAAAGGTGCCGGGAAAGAGATAAGAGAAGCTATAGCAGATCCATCGAGGATATCCCAGGAGCGTGCTTGGCGCGCTGTGAAACCCCTCGTAGATAAACTACTGTGCTGCTACAACCACTCCCTTAAGCTTCAAAGGGTGAGTATCAATCCATCAACTCCATAATGACTTGTGGACATCCAAAACTAGTATTCAAACATATCCTAATATGGTTACATATTCATGATTCACAGATTAATAAACAAAGGAAGTTACCTTCTTCAAACAAAGTATCAAGAGTATAACAATATGTATTCATAGACCGATCTATATTAATTCATCAATGATATTGCTACAAAATTCATGACATAAAGAAACCATATGTGTAGAGAAAACGGACAACAAAAAACACAAAAGTCAACGCCTAAGTCTTTTACAGAATGCCACTGTTCCACTCATCACTGTTCCACATGTTCCACTCATCAAAACTGAATACATGATAGCTTTATTGCAGATTTGTATGTGCAGTTTCACAATAATCATTACCACTAGCAACTGCTGCATTTGTACTTAACGATCTTTGTTGTGAAAGTTCAACAGGAATAATTATTTTGATAAATTTTTAGTTAGTATATCAGAAGTGTCAAAGTAGTCCCCGTAATTAACTAATTAAAGAGCGGATGGTTAGCGTGNCAAAACTGAATACATGATAGCTTTATTGCAGATTTGTATGTGCAGTTTCACAATAATCATTACCACTAGCAACTGCTGCATTTGTACTTAACGATCTTTGTTGTGAAAGTTCAACAGGAATAATTATTTTGATAAATTTTTAGTTAGTATATCAGAAGTGTCAAAGTAGTCCCCGTAATTAACTAATTAAAGAGCGGATAGTTAGCGTGGTATGGACATGTGATGCGTAGAGAGACAATGCATGTATGAGAGAGAGAGAGAGAGAGAGGAGTGAGTGTTGAGATGAAGGCTGATAGAAGATAATGGAATAGAATAATTCGCTGTGCCGACCCCACCTAGTGGGATAAGGTGGAGAAAAAGAAGATTTTTTGTTAGACAAATCAATACAAGCCCTAAAGAAATGAACCCACCATCTATCACTCTGTACATTGAGTGTATTTCCCATTAGACTACGTAAATTTCACATAAACACATATTAAAAAAATTGTTTCATAAGTGACATAAATTGCAGTGTACACAAGAGTATAGACTATGATATCATATAATATTTAATTATTACATTAAGTATAGTCCAAACAAATATAATTATATCTAGTGTTCATTAATTTTCTAGAACCTTTTTATTGTCACCTGTACAATACAGTGTAATACAATAATGTTCATAAAAATAAATGGATATTAAAGTAAACAATATAATTTTAGTTTGTCATTATTATATTAGGAATCCATAGGATTGGAAGAATCTATAGGATTTGTGGCTGTGTGGTAAAAAAATGTTCTTTATGTGACTGTTGCTTTCTAACAAGGCTCCACAATACATTCAGTTACAACCTGTTGTTAACCCTCAGACACAGCCCACTGAGTTTTTCGCCGGATCTTCTCAGTGTGTCGCGTGTCCGATCCTGTGGTAGATTCTGCGAAGCACGACCGTTGCTAGGGTTCGTGTTAGCAACGTCGTCAGGTTTGATCCCCGTAAGCTCACCTACTAGTTAAGGTTCCACTGAAATAGACTCTCAAGGCTATCAGATTAGGTAGGAAAAAAAAACAACCTGTTCATAGATTTGAGATAACTTCATATTTAACTCTCATAGACTGTATAAATGAATTTCTAACAAAGCAATTTATATAATAATTACTTAATAGATAGCAGAATGTAATAATGAGGTGGTAATACCAGGTTCATTTGATTTTTCTTTAAGGATTATTTTGTATTTTATACTTAAATAAATTTACCATTGGTAGTCGCTACAAATTTTTCATGACTACCTTTTTGGAAACGGGTCTTAGACTAATTTGAAATTTTTACATTCAGCAACTTTGTTATGATATTAAATGAGCTGAAATTATTTTCATTTCAATGACAAACAAACCTATAGTTTTCACACAAGAATGTTTGTAAATTATCATAAATTTTTTATGTATGTGTACCTTCAAAGGACCCAATCAATCTACTGATATATTTTACAGATAAAATTATGACGCTATGCTGATATCTTCTCACACTGATAAGTTAATAATAATGACATTGTCTGTAATTTTGAAAAATGATTTGGCACAGAAGCCCGTCGTCGCCATGATCGGAATGCCATCATCCTACTTAAGTGAAATAAGTTCCATTAGTATTGGGCATAAAGCAGCTATCCCACCCTTCAAATCAAACATGCAGCAATATTGCTCTTTTTTTATTAAATTTAATAAATTTCCTTGCTAATTATTTTTTTGGCTGTTATTTTATCACTAATAATTATTGAAAAGAGAATGCCTATAGTTCTGATGATAGGGATAACATTGCATTAGAAATTGGGATCATAACAGTAGTTATTTAACAGTTTGGATTGACATTTGATTTACTATGAGTTGGCATTATGTGATAGCCAGATAGACTATTATTCATGGAAGGTAATATTATTTAAATTGCAAAGTCATCACTTACATAGTTTGTAATCATTAAATTCTGAAGAGTACGAAACCCTGATACTAATTCAACTGACTTTGGGGGCTTAGTAGATAGATATACATACACTTCAGCAAATATTAAACATGACATCACGGAATAGAGACATAGTTTAAATAAAACTAGTCATATACTAACACTTCAAAAAATATTATCAAATTAAATGTTGAGATAGTAATATATATAAATTAAAATTCTGTTGTCTTTTATCAACTACCATATCAAGAAAAGGATATTTAAATCATCACATGACTTCAATAAATAAGCAAACCTCCCATAATGTACAATAAGTAGCAAAAAAATAGCAATGGTATTACATTAAAAAAATCATATTAGTAAGTATTATATCATCAGTAAGTATAATACAAATTAAGATATCCATGCAATTCTACAGCTGACCACATATACATGTTAAAATTAATTTTAAAAATGACTAACTTTGATTTTATAAATGAATGTTAAAACCACGTAGAAAAAAAAATTGGTTAAGCAATTAATAGATAAAGTTACAATATTTTACAAAAAAAATTAAATTACAGATACATAATACTGTATTACCTGATAATTTTACCATTTTATTTTAACATGACAACTGACCTAATAAAAAGTTTACATTATAGGAAACATTTAAAATCTGAGATATGCACTTATTAGAATTATAGAATTAGAATAAGTATGACAAACTATTCCAAATCGAATGAGAAGTCATTCTGTGTATGTTTTGTCGATGTAGTTCAATCTAGTCGTCAGCGGAAACCAACTTTATTTTCGTACTGATAACTCAATGACGAGATAGCTCAATTAGTCAGAAATATTTCTAGATATGAACTTTTAAGATTAGGCTTCGCAGCACACGTTCATACCGGTACTTAATTTGCAAAAATTGGAAGAAAATGTATGCGCATTGTCAGCGCACTTCGGCGCACGTCGGGAGAGGATCGCAAGGGACGTAAAGTATGCACCCGAGTTTAACCTTGCACAAATATAAACATTGTTCAAATAAGCCGTGAACTTGAAATTTTACACCAGATTGACATCATATAAACATGTTCATTGGTTCAGTTATTTTATTAATAACTACGAGAGAAACACGTGAGGGTGTTCAAGGCTCCGTGAAAGCTGCATCGAGAAAGGTTACGCCCACTATCACAGGAAAACTCGGATGATTAAAAATTTTATCGCTATTTTTATTGCCTTTAGAGACAGATTAGTATACGGTGCATCTGACGTTAAGTAATCGCCTTCACCAGCCAAGCTGTGGCTCTTCATTTGAAGAAGGTAATGTCATGGAGCTCGAAAAATACCATAGAGAATACATTTCATAGCCACTGGTAACCATTTCTAGATAGTATCGATAAACTGTCCTTCATCTATAATTTCGAATAATTCCTCATAATATTCCCCACGAGACACCTCCTCCTCCTCCTCCTTCAGTCGATCGCTCATTGCTGAGCATCGTGATGCGCCCGCCTGTGACTTTTTTTGTAATTTTTAGCCACTTATGTCGGTCAGTGGCACAGTGAAGTGCGTGGCTCAGTCTCATGTCCAGATACTCAGACACTTGGTCACTCCATATTTTTCGGCTACGACCTCTGGATCGTCTTCCATCCACTTTACCCGTCACTATGAGTCTCTCCAGGTTGTCAGAAGTTTTCTTGCTATATGACCAAAGTATTGGAGCACTCTATATAGACATTTGGTGGATAGCCTCTGGTCGACTTTTAGCATTATACATAAAATAAAGATAACAGGTCCCACCGTAGACCCAGAGATCACCTATTTATTTAAAAAGAAAGTAAAATCGTAAACTGCATTTAAAAATGTGAATCGTGGAAGTAATGTTAAATGCGTCACCGTCATCATAAGTATTTCGTATTCGAAGGCTTTTTTAAATCTTCGGCCCACAACTGTCCCTTCTCCACATAGGCCTCCCCGTCAATTTACGACTGCACCCTCGTATAGGACAATGTCACGTTATCAAACGTAGGTGACGTAAAGTTGACGAGTTAGTCTGATAGTTGACATCCTGTTCCCTTAATTTAAATGGTAACTGGTCATTGGGCGCATTGTGAGCCCACACAGATTATGTCCAGCCGCCCTGAATGTTGCTCTCGTGCCCAACTATGGAAATTTAAAATTGAAATCTCGCCCTTTTGTATTAAACAGCACGCAAAATATAATTGACAGCTAAAATAACCTAAATAAATATAAAGGATTCCATTGAATTCACAACCCGGGTTCCCCATACCCCTAACTAACCCTCGGCTTTATTTGGTCAACATAAACCCGCCTACCGGTCGGTAATCACGAGCGCTATACTCCATACAGTAGTGCAAACATTTACTCACACTTATCCCGACAGCGAACATTATCTTTTTACTTCGTGTTTCGAGTACCTAAGGACAAAACGTAACGCGCACCTCAAACAACCAAAATATGATTTTTTGTTTGCCGCTCATCTATGTTATCCGATTTCACTTGAATCTTAGTGCAGTTGTTGCTGACGCGTCAC